CAAAATATCAATCAGCTCTGAAAAATGTTGAAGATGTTCTGCATCCTGTAGTATCAAATATCCTGCCTAGATTTAATTCTTTATGTAAAAATAAACAAGCACATCCATCTCATTAGTATGCAAACTTGCTTTCGTCTTTAATAAATGGTAAAATTATATGTATACCAAAGAATACATAAGTATACATAAGCCATTTTTAGCTGAGAGAGGGGATGGGGAGGGAAGGAAGGGAGAGTCAAACACAGAGACACAGAGGAAGAGACACAGAAAGAGAAATAATGTCCTCACAGAGTGGCACAGTTCTTCCATGCCCTTGGATGTAATTCTCTACCCCAAAATGATCTGAGGTAATGATGAGGATGGGATCTGGATCCCAAAAAGGAAAAACCCTGGACTTTCCCATATGGCCAAATCTCTGGCATTTGCCTGAGGCTATAGTTCCATCAACTGGCCATTCATTGGCTATGCCCAATCTCCCAATTCTCTGTTACCCTTAACCTAGCCTAGCCCTCCATTGCCTCTCTATGGCTCCTGGCCACTTCCTATCCTTAATCCTAGCTAGGCTCCATTCTCCCTTGCCCATGTGGTCCAGGTCCCTGATGTTCTATTACCTCACAGTCCTCACAGACTGCTTGGCCACTCCTAGATCCCTCCCACAGTCTTTCTTTATATAAGGTCCATCTTGTCTCTACTAAGGTGCTCAGATTCTTAAAATCTAGCCAATAGCTCATCAATGTTCAGACTCCTTAAGAGTCTGCCCAGTGTGACAGATGTTCTAATAAACCTTGCTTTGGCTAAAAGGTTTGGGTCGAATTCTTTTGGGCAGGACCCGTATGGAGTGATTTTGGGGTCCTAGCACTCCTTAGCCCCTAAACCTCAACAGTAACATTTATTTCAATCTTGAACAAGGGAAAGATCATAATAAAATAAAAACACAGTTTGGGGTTAAAATTCCAAAACAGTTAAGCAACAAATTTTCACATCATTCCTTCCTGGACCACTCCTCTTAAGTGCTCTCCCTAAAATAGACAAAGGGAATTCCTGTCTTCTAAATCAGTAGGGAAGGGTGGATCCTCCCACCAATTATTTCCTGGACATGGGCAAAGTATAGACTGCTTATCTTCTCAGGAATTGGTTATTACCTTAGCTTTGTTCTACTGATTTTCCTAAAGGGAATACTGTAGTCTTCAAAGGCATTTAGGCTGGGGGGGGGAACCATTCTTGATATTTTCAGTTTTACTAAAAAACAAATTTTAAAAAATGTGTTTCCTACAATTCTTTAGCTTTTCCTCTTTTTCCCAAAATGCCTTTAAATGCCTTTCCCCTTTCTTGTCCTTGCCAGCCCTTTCCCTAGTCTTATAGAGTAGAATGTAAGCTTCCTAAGAGTAGGTGCTTTTTCTTTTTTGTGTTTCTATGCCTAGCACCAGGAAGCTAAGGTGCAACAGGCAGAATGCTAAGCCTGGACTCAGGAACAATCAGGATGTTAAGTCTGGCCTCAGATACTTATTAGCTGGGTGACCCTGGGCAAGTCACTTAGCCCTGTTTGCCTCAATTCCTCATCTATAAAATGAACTGGAGAAGGAAATGGCAAACCACTCTGGTATCTTTGCAAAAACAAAACAAAATGGAAAAAAGAAAAGAAAGAAAACCAAAATGGGGTCACAAAGAGTCAGACACTACTGAACAACAGGAACATCCCTAGCATCTGACTAAATGTAAAAAGTAATGTTTTTTCAAGACTGTTGAATTCAAAAATGTGTGTGAAGCAGAGATATTAAGGAGTTTTCCTTTTTTTAATTAATTTTTTTCAATTAAAAAAAATTTCTTTCCCATCCACCTACAATGGCAAAAGAAAAAGAAAAAGAAAATGCCCTTGTTAACAAACAAGCATAGTCAATAAAAACAAATTCTCACATTGATCATGTTAAAGAATACATGAACCCTCAGTCTAACACCTCTCTGACAGGAAGAGGGTTGCATGCTTCCTCTACTATCCTATGTAATTATGGGTAATTATTGCATTGATCAAAGTTCTTAAGACTTTTAAAAAATTTTTCATAGTGCTGCTATTGCATAAATTGTTTTCATTATTCTGCTCACTTCTGAAACCATACTTTTTATCATTTCTTAGGGTGCAATTTAGTTACATTCATATACAATAATTTGTTTATCCATTCCTCAATTGTTTCCCCCTTAGTGTTCAGTCTGGTAAGGAGTTTTTCTATGACTCCACAGCAATGTGTGAAGAAGTTCCTTATTCAAGTGGAGATGATCATAAGTCTTTAGCCATTGAACTAAGGCAACCAACACCACACAGGAAACACCTAGTGACTGCAATAGCAATTTAGAATTGAGGAGTAACTGAGAGGGGATGCTACATCTAAATTGCCAATCTTTCATAATCATGCTTTGTGGTCTATCTTTGATTTCATCATGTGTATAGGTCTTTTAAAGATATAAATTGTTTGGTAATTTCCATGGACAATTACATTGGCCTCTTTATATCATAAGGGAAAATACTTAAATTAGAAAAGAAGGTGACTATGAAGACATTTAAAAGATTGCAAACATCTTTAAATATTGTTAGGCAAAGAAACCAAAGCAGGGTGTTCCAGAATGGTTTAAGAGAGAAATCTCGAGAGAAGAATTTAGATGGGAATAAATGAGAGCATTTATAACACACAGAGCAGAAATAATTAGCAGAGGGACAGCTAGGTGGTACTGTGGATAAAGCTCTGGCCTTGGAGTCAGGAGGACCTGAGTTCAAATCTGGCCTCAGACACTTGATACTTACTAGCTGTGTGACCCTAGGAAAGTCACTTAACCCCAATTGCTTCACCAAAAAACAAAAACAAAAAGAAATAATTAGAATGAAAAATTTTGAATCCTTAGTGGAAAGTCTCTAAAGAAATGAAAGAGAAAAACAGATTTAGAATACAACTATACTGAAATGAAGGACAATCTGGAAAATGACAAGGAAAAACCAGTAACGTTAAATGAAGACATGATCTCTACACAAATAAAACACATTGGATCTTAAAGACAAAATGTGTAGAAACAACCTAAGGATCAGTGGCCTACCAAAAGAACATGAACAAGTAAAAAAAAATCTGAATATCATAAGGGAAAATAATACAACAAATTGCCCAGAAATTCCAAGCACAGAAAATAAAGCATCAACCAAAGGATCAAAAAATCCTCTGCTTTGAACTCCAAAATGCATAGTAGTTAAATTTAACGATTCCAATGACAACAAATTCTAGTGGAGACCAAATATAAAGGGAAGGAAATTTGAAAAACACAAGACTATTCTGCACCCCACTGAAATGGTGGTAGGGAAGTGGTCCAAAAGAATAATTGTCAGGGCAGCTAGGTGGCACAGTGGATAGAGCACTGGCCCTGAAGTCAAGAGGACCTGAATTCAAACCCGGCCTCAGACTAAACACTTGACACTTACTAGCTGTGTGACCCTCGGGCAAATCACTTAACCCCAATTGCCTAAAAAATAAAAAAAGAATTGCAAACTATTAGCAACCATTTGAAAGGATTCACATCACTAATAGACATACAAATCAAAACAACTTTGAGATTTCACCTCACTTAGCAAATTGGCTAAGAAATGACAAAAGAAGGAAATACTCAAAGTTGGAAAAAAGATGGGCACACTAACGCACAATTGCCCTAGTTGTGAGCTCTGTGAGAGCAGGGACTGTCATTTCCCTTTCTTTGTATCCCCAGCAATTAAAAAGGTGCCTAGCCCATAGTAGGTTCTTAATAAATGCTTGTAGACTTGACAACCTGAGTTAGTCTAACCATTCTGCAAAACAGTTTGGAATTACACAGAGAAAGGGACTTAAAATATCCAAGTCCCTTGATCTAAACATTTTACTAAGTTATATACCCCAAGGAGGCCAATAATAAAAAGGCTCCATATACACCAAATATTCATATCAGCACTTTTCAAAGTGACAAAGAATTGGCCCCCATCAACCCAGATAGGGTTAGAAAAGTGTGGTACGTGAATGTAATGGAAAATTACTGTGCTGAAAGAAATGATGAATAGAGTAAATAGAGAAGCATGGGAAAGCTGATATTAACTGATGCAAATCAAAATGAACAGAATCAGGAAAACAACTGTACTCGTTGATTACAAACACGTAAATGGAAAGGACAATTGAAACTGAAGTCTCTGAAGTTATAATGACCAAGCCTTGACCCAAAGATGAAATAGAGAAAGCACCCCTCTCCCTTCTTTGTAGAGATAGTGGACTGTGGGTGTGGCACTCTAGTGATATCAGACGTAAGTTGGTTAGTTTTGCTGAACTGTTTCTTTCTTTCTTTCTTTCTTTTTATGACGACGGCTTTCTCGGAGGAGGACGGGATAATACTGGGGAATGTGAATGACACAAAAACAAAAGGTATACTAAAATCTTATTTTAAAAAAAGTGAAGAGAAAAAACAAAACAAAAACAAACCTGCTCTCCCCAAAGCTAGGTTGAGTGCCTGGCTTCCTCTATCAAAAATTCCTAGATGGAGTAGTAACTTTCTCACAATATTCCCATCATTACAGCATAAAAAAAGAGCTCCTCCTGTATGTTAGCAGCCACTTGTTGGGGACGCTGTGCCCGGGCGCGGGCTGTGAGGTCCAGGTAAGTGTTTGGACAAGATTAGCTGAGGTCCTCCCAAATCTAATGCAACCGTGATTTTGATTTTGTTTCCGTGATTCCTCTCAACCCCTGCCTCTTCCAGAAACCTCCAGCCCTTTCTCTAGCCAACTCCTCAAAGCCCCACCCCAACTCCCGCTCCTTCTGCTATTCCCGGGTCCCTACGCTCCCCTCCACAGGCAGAAGGAAGCGTGAGCTCCGCGGGAAATCTACAAGTGAAACCTACTGGGCAGCTGGCTGGGAGGCGTGACCTTCCCTGATGCCTGAGCCCTGATTGGTCGGGCGCAGTGAAGGGGCGGGGCGTGACGGGGCGAGGCGGAGGCGGTGCGGGGCCGGGGAGGGGGTGGCAGAAGCTAGAAGACCAAGGACCTCTTCACTGATTATCTGCAGCTGCAGCAGTGGGAACTAAGGTTACCACCCAGCGGGACCATGTCTGACAAGCGGCCTGTAGCGACAGACACAAAAAGCCGGCGGCTCCAGGACTCCTTCAATGGTGAGTTCACGGCTGCGAAGTCTTCCTGCCGAAGCCCGCTCCGCATTTACTACCGCTGGCACTACCCTATCCCCCTGATGTCCCTCTGTTGTTAAGTTATTCGGTCGGGGGAGAAATTCATACTCACAAATTGTTAGAGCTGAAAGAGGCCCTAAGCTCATAGGGTGTCATAGCTAGAAGAAAACCTCGTACATGAAAAGTTAGAGAACGTCTAGTTCAAACCTCTTATTTTTACAGATGAGGAAACTGAGGACCCCAGAGGGTAAATGAATTGCCCAAGATCACAAATCAAGTCTGCGTCAGAGCCATCTTCATTTAGAAACCTCCCCTCTATTTGTCAGCCTTCCCTAACGTACACCCCCCCACACACACACTTTATTTTTCCCATAGGAAATATTCACAACTGTCATATTCAAATTAGCCTCTGGTTCCCATACCCTGGTACTCTTAAGGATTTCCACTTTCACTCACTTTGACAAATCCAAACCCCGCTCCCAGGGTCTTGTTGACTACCTTAGAATCATGGCATTTCACACTGAATGGAGAGGGTGTGTATTCTAAAAGGTCCGTGAAGATGAAAATGACTTGCTTGGAGACACAGAGCAGATTAGTACTGGAGCCAGAACTTGATCCAAGGTTTTAAGATTCCCAAATCAAATTCCTCTTCCAGTATTAGATGATGACCCTCTTACCTCTTCTATATGCTCTCTCTCAATCTTCAAGGATATACATTCTCTGGAAGTATACTAGTTCCAGCTCTGGTGGGTACTAGTTCTAAGAGTCCAGGTTCTAAAGGCCCTTATAGAGCTACCATTCCATGATTATATGATTCTTTTTTCCACCCTGAATCCCCCAGGTAATCTTTATTGTTATCCCTCCTGGGAACTCTATACCATGCCTCCACCCTCCTGGAGCGGAGAAAGGAATCTCTGCCCCCCCCTCAGGGTCCTTTGGATTTACAAATAAAATGAACTCCAGCTCTTTCTACCTTCCTAAGCATAGGTCTTAAGCCTTATGCCTATAGGGCCCAATACTGTACCTGTGAAATTTTGCCCTAGGTTTCTCAAAATGTATTGTTGGAGACTATTGTCTTTGACATTATCCTACTTCACTTTCAGCTTCGTTCTTTCTCTTCTTTTCGTGCCCAGTATCCAGTTCCTACCTCAGACTAGGCAAATAACCTCTTTCCCGGCCCTAAAATATTTTGTACCTACCTCAGTTAGCCTTCAGCTGAACCACTTAGGGTTTGAGGTGATAATGACCTAAAATGTTACCCACCCCCACATCCTCCTTGCCTCAGTAACTGCATTTTCTTAGGACACTTTTCAATTCAATAAACATTTATTAAGTGCCTACTATGTGTCAGACACTGTGCTAAGCTCTAGGAATATAAAAGAGGCAAAAGACTGTCCCTGCTCTGAAGGAGTTTATAATCTAATGGGGGAAACAACATTTAAACTATGTACAGGATAAATAGGAAATAATCAAGAGGGAAAGCACTTGGAATTAAGAGGGATTAGGGAAGACTTTCTGTAGAAGGTGGGTTTTTGGTTGGGACTTAAAGGAAACCAGGAGGTTGTTCAAGACCAAAAAAGCATGACATTAAAGGTAACATTTGTAGTGGACAATGGAAATGTTTCTTCACTGCAATCCCATAAGATAAGTTAAGCAAATGTTATTATGCTTATCAGTAGCTTCTCCCAGAAACAAAAGTGGTCTCTTTAATGCCAGTATTGTATCCAGTATGTTATAAGGCTGTGAGAAATGGACTCACAGTGTCCCTAAGAATGACAAATGACTATTACCCTGAGGGCAGCATAAAGACACATAGTAGATGTGAGCAGGCTGCAACTTTTCATAAATAAGGAACTTGAAAGAAGAACTGGAGTAAAGGATAATCAGGGTATTTATGATCGGAAAAAAGAATTGGGTTGGTCTGAGGGCCAGAATGAAAAGTGACAGGTCTGCACATGGCCCAGGTATCCATCAGATCCTGGAGGTGTCAGAAGTAGATGGATGAAGGCTTACAACAAGTTGGCTGGATCTCCTGTGGCTAAATTAGGAGGCATAATGAGCAAACATGAAAAAGCTAGTCTGCATCCACTGAAGGGAACAGCCAAGTCAGTGATCTCACAGATCCATTTGAGTATAGGCCTTATACTTGAAAAAAATCCCAGTTTGAGGTCACTGGACTAGTAAATATTAGAGCTGGACTTGACCTCAGGCCAATCCTCTCATTGTTACACTGGGTTGGCATGACATTAGCAGAAAGCATACTAGATTTAGAATCTGAATACCAGCTCTGCCACCTATTATCTCTGAATACCTGGCCAAGTCATTTGACCTCTTTGGGAGTCAGTTTTTTCATCTTTAAATGAACTCGCTTTCCAAGGTCCTTTCCAGCTCAAAAATCAAGCCAAAGGAATTCATCTCTAATGGTGCGAAACTTCTGGCAGAATAACATAGGGAAGGAGATAATGTTTGGTTAGTAAGTAAAGGTTTTCCAGCACACCTCATGAAAGACCACTAATGTGGCAGCTCACTTAGAATACTAATAGTTTTTGTGCATTTTTCTCATTACAAAGGGCTGTATATACATAATCTCATTTGATCCTTAGGACAACCCTGTGAGACTAGTATTCCACTTTACAAAAGACAAAACTGAGACTCAAGAATTAAAGTAAGTTTCAGAGCTGGGGGTGGATTCTGAGTCTTCTGTCTCAAGCTAATGGCTTAGTGTTCTTTTCTCCTAAGCATAGCCTGGGTTTCTCTCCACCACACCCACCCTTGCCCCACCACCAGGCTTATCTGGTCTCTCCAGAGGTCTTCATTCCTTACCTGACTTCTGGGCTTCCCAAGAAGGACAGTTGGTTCCCTCCCCCAAAAGGGAAAGTGATGAGCAGGGTTTGATAGCACCTTAAGATATACTTTCCTCTATAAACCTGAGAAGCAAGTAATACTAGTATAGTTATTCCCATTTTATAATTAAGGAAACTGGGACTTAGATGAATTTTCTTGTTGGAGGCAACACCGTAAAGTATGAAGGGCTAGAACTTGAACCTGTGTCTCCTGGGTCTAAGTCTGTTGACTGAGGAGGCAGAGGACCTAGTTTCAAATCTTGGCTCTACCATTTACAAACTGTATGACTTTGGGCAAGTCATCCTCTTTGAGCCTCAGTTTCCTTATCTGTAAAATGACAGATGTTGAACTAAATGGTTTCTAAGGTTCATGCCTCACTAATATCACCAACCCTTCCCTGAGTTCATCTGTGACGCTATCACTGTTGCCACAGTATCTGTCATTACATCGAGAGCTCCTTGAAAGCAGGCTCTCCCTGCCCCCATACACACTTTTTTTCTGTTTGTTTCCCACTCCTTAGCACAGTACCAAGATGACATCTGTTGAAATGGAGGTATTTGGAGGTGTGCATGGAGACAGACTATAGGCATAAGATTGGGTTTAATTTCTGTGTTAACTCTATCCCTAATCCTTCTTCTGTGAGCTTTATTCATTCAGCAAACATTTATTAAGCACCTACTGAGTGCAGAGCCCTGTGCTTAGTACAGAAGAGAATAGCAAAGTTTGGGTGAGACACTTCCCACCAATATCTACTTTTTCTGTTGATTTACTCTGAGAAATGGGACACTGTCGTGTTCCAAAGAAATAAACATTTCCCAGATGTGAAATTGAGAGATGCAAGATGGTTGTGAGTAATCTGCGCTATATTTCAAATAACTTCAAAGAAGAACTTGATAAGAGGATGTAATTGGGCAAAATGGATGATTGAAAAGTAAATTGGACTGGTCGTGTAAGAGTAAGAGATGATAGATGGACAGCTGATGGAGCACTTAGTAAGCACATACCAGGCCCTATATTAAGTGCTATGGATGCAGATACAAGCAAACAAGACATCCTTGACACCAAGAGCTTTCGTTTGAATAAGGGAAAACAAAGATCTGGAAAGGGAAGGATGCAATGGTATATACAGGTGCCAGGAAGTGGCATGGCAAAATAAAAGCTTAAAGTTCACCTCTCAAAGCTGAGGGATCTGGGGGCAGAGTCCCGGTTTCCCAGGGGTCAAAGGTAGAAGTGGTGATCAGTGTAGAGAATGATTGCTATGGACTCAGCTGGGCCAGGAAGTGGCCATATCATTTATTTTATGTGATAAGTGCATCAGAAAAGGGGCAACAGGAAAAATCCTCACTGACCAGGGAAGGGCTTCCTAGAGGAGGCGGTATATGAGGTTGGGCTTTGAAGCATGGTTAGGAATTCAAAGGTAGAGAGAAGTAGAGGGGCATCCAGGTGACACAGTAGATAAGAGCACTGGCCTTGGAGTCAGGAGGACCTGAGTTCAATTCCAGCCTCAGACACTTACTGGTTATGTGATCCTGGGCAAATCACTTAACCCCAGTTGCCTTCCCCCTCCCCCTCTTCCCCCCCTCCCCCACCAAAAAAAAAAAGAGAGAAGTAGGAAAGGTGTTTTAGGTTATCAGGGAAAAACACGAGCAAGGGCATGGAAGTAAAAGAGAACAAGGCATAGGATCATCATCAGTTATAGCAGGACAGGATATGTTCAGGAGGCAGAGAGTAGCAGAGTCTAGACTGAAATAGACTACCTGGAGGAGAGTGATACAAGAGGCTTTAACAGAGCCAGAAGGAACCTCAGAAGGAAGGAAATAAGCATTTGTTAAGTACCGACTGTATGCCAGGCACTGTACTAAGTGCTTTACAAATTTTATCTCATTTGGTGCTCACAACAGCCTTGAGATATAGGCATTATTATTAATCCCATTGTATAGTTGAGGAAACTGAGGCAGATAGAGGTTAAATGACTTGTCCATTGTCACACACCTTTAAGTTTCTGAGGTCAAATTTGAACTCAAGTTTTCCTGACTCCAGGGCCAGAGCTGTGCTGCCTAGCTGCCTCACCTCATTAAAGAGATGAAGTGACATGTTCACTACACAGGTAGTGTCAGGTGGGAACTGACCTCTAAGTCCTT